ATATCATTCATAAAAGAATTCTTTAAATCGTCATTTAGCAGTTGTGAAAAAATATGTTTAGAAAATAGTGTAAATTTCCTGGTAACAATCCCAAACTATTGTACAAAGAGCTATGTATATAGTTCACAAGGCAAACAGTTAGGAAGACTTTTCATATGAGAAACAAACACCTTTAATTTGGTACATTTTATGTGTATACAAGTGAAACTATAACTTTATTTACACTGCCAATGCAGATTTCTACTATTCTTTTGATCAATAAAATATTTGAGTCCTGAGGCTTGGATATTCAGGAAAAAATCCATCTTATGTGTTAGAAGAAGAGATTTTATGCCCTATGTAGGAAAAGATATCGAGTAGATTTAACAGAATCTACTTCAAATCGATTTATCCCAAAATAGTTTTTAGACTTGTAAATTTGCTTTCTGACATTATATTAATTGCCCACAACCACAGCAAGTTGCTCAATTACACACAATATCACATCATACACTCAGAATTACATAGTATTGCCTTTTAGATATTCAATTGATTTTAATTATTAAGAAAAGATTTTCATTATTGTCCTTTCAGTCATGACATTTTTTTAAACACTGATGCCAAATTAAATTGAGGGACATTAATGGTGATTAACTTAAGTACAAAACAGCCAACGCTCTAGTTGGCCGGCCTTGCAACACAGTGCACCTGCCCCAACAGAACAAAGTGAGCGCAAAAGGCAAAAAACTGGATCTGTTTCACGATATGCTATTCCTACAGGAAACAGGTTCGAAACATTAAATAACGATACAGATGAGGACGAACATATCAGTGCCGCGGAAACAGTGATTAAAATTCCTCCTATAATTATACACAAAGCGGAAAATTTTCAACTGTTAATAAATGACATTAAAACTGTAGTTAAAGAAGATTTTACAACAAAAATAAAAGCAGACAGAATGAAAGTAAAACTTAATTCAATAGAAGATTTTAGAGATCTTCGTAAATTTTGTAACGAAAACAACATAGAATACCACACGTTTCGTGACACAAGCGTAAAAACATTTTCAATTGTTATTAAAGATATTCACACTATATAGTGAAACCGAAATCTTCGAAGAACTAGTGAAAAAATACCCAGTAATGAAAGTAACTCGCCTTCATGGAAAAGACAAAAAACCATTAACAACCTGTGCTGTAGATTTAGAGGACAATAACAAGGGAAGGAGCATTCTAGCCTTAGATAGATTTTTATATAGTGTTATTATGGTATTTCCTAGATCCAACCAAAAATTACCAATTCAGTGTAAAAACTGCCAAAGATTTGATCACACTCAAGCTAACTGTGGGCGCGCTACGAGAAGCGTTAGGTGTTTAGGTAACCACCATTATTCAAAATGCACGGAACCTAAAACAGAAACAAGTCGGAAATGCGTTAACTGTAAAAAAGATCACACGGCCAATTGGAAAGGTTGTGAAGGGAGTTGGAAGGTTCTCAGAAACTGCTAAAAAATCAAACAGAGCGGTATAATCAGAGACAACAGGCTTTAAATAACAGAGAATCCCACGAGATTAAAAACATTGACCGAAAACTAGTCCATCGAAATCGTATACAACAGCCAAACCCAACGCAACGACCTCCCATAAATCCCTGGTTTTCAAATCCTCAAAGACTTAATTGCCAAGTCCCCCCGCTATCGAACTCCAATCTCCCTCTACACCAAGGACAGGTAATAACTACAATCATCAACCAGGTAAGAAACGCACTCATTCCACAAATACAAATATTAATACAATCAGCCCTCGATAATAGACGTAAATAAAAATCCAGAAACATTCTCAACTGGAACGCGAACGGAATAAAAAGGCAATAAAATAAATTACTTTATAACAAGCCACAACATAAAAATAGCTTGTATTTCAGAAACTCACCTGTTGCCACAAATCAAGTTCTCAATACCAGGTTTTGATATCTATCAGCGACGGTCGCAGGAGGAGTGGCCATTCTAGTGCACAAAGATAGAAAACATACGTTAATTAATAGTCCTACGAGCAACGACCTAGAAACTATATCAATAAAAACCAAAATAAATAACAAAGGCACAACCATAATATCGGCGTATAAACCTCCTAATATGCTATTCCCTAGAAAAATATATACTGAAATTTTTGGAAATAACGATAATATCATGCTAATAGGTGACCTTAATAGCAAACACTGCGATTGTGGATGAAACATAACAATTCCTCAAGGGTAAAATTTACTAAATCTAGCTACCACTCTCAATTTAAGTATTATGGCCCCACCCATTACACTTACAACAATAATATAGTTCCTGACATATTAGATATCCTCATCACAAAAAATATTGATTTCCCGCTATACCAAAAAGTAATTCCTGAACTCGATTCGGATCACAACCCAGTAATCATATCATTTCATCTGCTGTATCTATCATCTTATTATAAACAGCAAAAAGGTAAAATTAACAGGTTTAAATTCAGGGAAATTTAAAAAATTAACTGCAAACATCCGCAAACATTCAATCTGAAAAGGACTTAGATAATGAAGTAAAACGATTAGTCAGCAACATACAAGGATCACAAATTCTACCACATATCTCAAAATAACAAACCCAATAAAAAAGCAACAAATCCCAATAAAAACCATAAAACTAATTAAAAGTAAACACAGTTTAAGACGCTATTGGCAAATGACACGACGACCAGACTTAAAAAGAAAATTAAACAAACTGACGAGACTAGTTAAAACTAAACTAGACCAACATAGATATGCAAGCTTTCAGACTTTTCTAAAAGAAATTCACCCGTCATCTAGGCATATGTGGTCTACCATACATAGAATAAAAAGACAAAAACAAGAATTTCCACAAATAAAGCTAGATTCAGAAGTGGCAAATTCTGATTTTGAAAAAACATCTCTTATAGCTGACTACCTTAAAAGGTCGTGCAACCCAAACCCAGTCGAAAACGATCACTTTAATAAACAACTAGAGGAATTCAATCAGAAACCACTATATACAGCTCCAATCAATATAAAGTACATATCCCCATCAGAAATTAAACAAGAAATCAAAAACTAAGAAATCAGCGGGATACGACATTATTTCTAACAAAGTTCTAAAAGAACTAAATCACAATTCAATAGCAGGCATTACAGCAATATTTAACGCAGCATTCAGATTAGGTTACTTTCCCAACAATTGGAAAATTGCAATAGTGCTACCCTTCCGAAAACCAGAAAAGAATCCAAAAGATCCAGCGAACTATAGACCAATAAGCCTACTCCCGTCATTGTCGAAAATATTAGAGAAACTGATATTAAAGCGATTAATAAAATTCATTACAAACACTCATGTAATCCCAGACCCACAATTGGGATTTCGACCTAACCACTCCACAACACATCAAATATTACGGCTTACCGAATATATGGCGCAAGAATTCCATGCCAAACAACACACTATCGCAATATTCCTGGACATCACCAAAGCGTTTGAAAAAATATGGCAGCAGCCCTTCCACGTTGTGGAACAAATTATCGCTCTCAACAGGTAGTCATTTCTTCTCGAGCCCTAAGCCAATTATTTCTTCCCTCAACAAGGCTCATCTTTCAATGAATCCAAATTATATTTTCATAAACAGCCTATACGTAGTGCCACTCATTTTGTTATTTAGTCTTATTTCATGCAATGCAAACGGTGTATACCTAATATTCAATATGCTAACCCCCCTTTTTTGATAATAAAATACAAGAGCTTTGCATTACAGGAAAACAATATTTTGGCCTTCGATGAAAACTTAATATTCCCGGCTAATTCTATATCGGCTATGACCGACCGCGGAAATCGCGCCCAGCGGGTGGAGTCACCGAATATTTGTAAAAACATCCTTTAATAAACACATCACCACTACCCATTAAAGTAAATAGATACTTTCGTGAAATATTAGTTGTGGCTATTCAGCAAAAATGTCAATCTACCTTATCTTGAAGTCTATCGCCTTCAATTACAAGCTCCCCTAATATTCCATGAAAGATCAGGTTGTAATGATACCTAATTTTGCTCCGTCCAACCAACATTAGTGATCGGTGATTGGAATGCTAAACACGTTGCTTGGGGGAGTGACTTCGGCGTTTCTTAACAAC